TGATCTCAGCACTACCTTTGATGATAGGAATTGGTTACATGTTGGTTATTTCCAAACTTTTTTTTAAGTTGGTGGATGCTAATTTAAAAGTCACACACAACTGTATCAAGTATCACAATGTTTATTGATAGATACAAGTATATAAAATCAGGGCATGAACATGACTTGATAAATTAAGTAGACTTAATTTCAACACTATAATAAGAGGGACCAATTCAAATTCTCACCATTTGTTTCACACCCACAAAAACCACTTCAAGGGCATTAACGATCTCTCAAAACTGATCAGTTTTGTGCAAGTAAACCATGTTTCTTTTTTAAAAGACTTGTGCACTTGCCCAGGCTCAAGGATATTAAAATCTAGCACATAAAGCCCATTACTAGAGGTAGAAATACAGGCAATATACTATTACGGCAACAACCATCAATTACAGTTAAGAATTTTTCTGTAACAACCAAATGGATAATCAAATATTGCAACAACTCAAGTATTACTGAGCAAAGTGCATTTCTACAGTATTCAGTGTTGCTATTCAGTTTTCTAACTTGAAACAGCCTATGATAACTGGCAGCAAAGAAGATCCTTGCAATAGACTGCCTTCTGCTTGCGAACTTATGATGTAAGTATTGCATGCTGCTAATATACTATCTAAACATTAAAGATACTCCTAAAATATTTGATGGTAGACTATGATTAAGACATTACACTACAAAAAAACCTTATGCAGAAGAAAATCCTAACTGACGTGCTTCTGCTTTAAATATTGTGAAAACATTACAGCGGAATGAATTTTCGCAGTGGTTAGGTCAAATGCAGTTACATCATAGCAACAGTATGTTTTGTACAATTTAAGGCTTTGGCTGGTTCTTTTAGTCAGCTTCTTCCTCTGATTCTTCTTCTTCAGCAGTTTCTAGCCAGGTTAGCCACTGATTCACCTGTAAATTAATTTGTAATGTAAAAAAATAGGTAGTACTGACAGAAAAACCCAAAACCGAAGCTTTGAAGACCAATTTAGTCCCCACCCGAAGGACACAAGTTTTGTTTACCTTTTATAATTGTCTCTAGGACATAGAGCAAACGTACTATTTATATTAGCTTTAAAGGTATTTTAACTACTCATTATTTAGATTTTGGATCTCATATAAACCAGCAGTTGCCAACCAGTGGTCAGTGGATCACTGGTGTCCACGAGGTTTGAAAAGTTAGTCATCACTGATACAAACTATTTATGGTAAATTAGCTCAGGTGTCATTTTTTGACACCGCTCCAGTTATATTTCAGGATCATTTTAGGAGACAGATGCTCTTTCCAAATCTAAATATGTTAAAGCTATACTGTGAAGGGGAAGCGGGAGCAGAGTCCTAGCCCTGGCTGGTGTATTGCAATTGGTGTGTCTTCCTGTACATCCAAAGGTTGGGGGTCTGCTTCCAGGCCAGGACACGTTCCTGGGCTGTGAGTTCGATGCTGAGCCAGCTTGTGTGTGTGAGGCAATTGATGTTGCTTTCTCCCTTACTCCCCTTTAAACAATGTCAGATTCTTGAATAGATTTCTAGCACCCCAAAATTGCTGGACCAGTCTCTCCAAGGGAAGAGCTAAGTGTAAATGCTGTAAGAATGATTGATCCTGCTGAAACCAGTTTGGCTCAGTGGTAGAGCATCGGTCTGCGGACTGAAAGGTCCAAGGTTTGATTCCGGTCAAGGGCATGTACTTTGGTTGCAGGCATATCCCCGGTAGGGGGTGTGCAAGAGGCAGCTCGTCAATGTCTCTCTCTCATGGACGTTTCTAGCTCTCTCTCTCTCTCTCCCTTCCTCTCTGTAAAAAAAAAAATCAATAAAATATATTAAAAAGAAAAAAAAAAAAAGAAATGATTGATCCTCATAAAACTAGTTTGTGAACCTTAGGAGTACAGATAAGATACTGTAGACCAGTGTTTCTCAGGTCTAACAATCAATCATCTGGATCGTGTACCACAGACCTACCGGTATTAACTCAATCTCTGTGATCTGGCCTGGAACCTGCTGTCATTTTGAATCTCCTAGAGCTAGAATTTCACTCAGTAAGACTGAAAATCAAACTATGAGAAGAAGCAATCTCCTTTTTAATGACATAAAAAAAAAAAGCTTAAACCCAACTTGCAATCTCACCCAATCTTTTTAAATGGCTTCACTTAAATAAAATTAGCCAGTTCTAACCTAACATCTTACACAAAGGACTGAAGCCTTTTACTTCATAGTTCTACCTCATTTTGGGGGAACTACCTACTCTTATCTACTCTACCCACATCATGATAGCGTAGAATACCTTTAACACACTGACTATTTTGATTTTAAAGGCTTGTCATTAAAGTAAAACCAAGTAAACTGGAAAAAGCAGACCAAATTTCTCCAGCAAGACATTTACCTGGAACAAAGCCTTGCCTTTCCCTGGAAACTCTTGGGTTATATCTTCTTTCCAAGCCAAGAAAGCTTCTTCTTCAATAATTTCCATGTCATAGAAGTGAACAAAAAAGCGGAGTAACATGCCTAAAAGACAAAATGTAATCTCATTATTTAATGTCTTTTTAAAATATATTTTATTGATTTTTTACGGAAAGGAAGAGGAGAGTTAGAAACATTAATGAGAAACATCCATCAGCTGCCTCCTGCACACCCACTACTGGAGATGAGCCAGCAACCAACAGTCCACAGGTAGATGCTTTATCCACTGAACCAAACTGGTTAGGGCTTAATGTGCTGTTGAAAAGTCGTCCCCCCACCTGCCCCTTTTCTGAGGCTGGTCCTCTCACCTTTTGGGAAGTTGCTGTTGTAGCAGTGCACCTGAAGAGCATAGAGGGCACTGACTTGTAGATCAACATGATCGTGAAGGAATTTCTGCATCACTGGCTTGAAAGAAAGAAGCAGTTGTTTTTCCTGCTCTAACTGTTCTTTGGAAGGAGCAGAGGAAGAATCTGTTTCATCACTGGGTGGGTTTACTTCACTAGAAATATACTGTAAGAAGCTACAGAGAAAGAGATCTTATTAGAACCCCAAAACAAAATTTCTAGCTAAAAACAGACAATTCTTAATCCCTTACCCCACAGATTTTTTGTAGGTGGCCAACATTTTCTTACCTAGTCATTAAGATGTTCACAAATCCTTTATCTACATGAAGTTTGGGAGAGATGTTATCTTTAATCCACTTATATATGGTTTGAGGGGATGGATCCAACTTTATTTGCTTCAATAGTTCCTTCTCCAATTTGAGAAGTGGGAATAAGAAACTCAGTCCCTTTCCTTCCAAAATCTCCAACATTCGATCCTTATTTTGATCAATTTCTGAAAGAAAAAGCCACTTTTGTATCAGGCAACAACTTCCCAAATATACAAGGTTCATAAAAAAGAATAAAAAGCTAACCCAGCAAAGAAAACTCTTGACATTTGAAGCAAATTAGTTAAAAATTACTTTTTAATAACAAAGTGAAATCTACTTGTGGAAGGTAATGCTTATTATCTGTACAGGACAAGCACACCATCTGACTTATACAAGTCCATTCAAGGTACTAAGGAATCTAGTCATAGCATTAAAAAACAAACAAAAAAAACCCAAAAACCCTCCCCAGCATTCTTACCTGGGAGCATTTTCTGCATATTGACCTTGCTTTGTTGAAAAAGTTCTGTTAACCACTCTCGATCTTGTAATTTAGCTAGTTGCTGAAGACAAAGTAAGAAGAGAGGAAAATGGGTGCCACTTTCCAGTGGTTGAGCTAGTTCTGAAATGCTCACCAGCTCTGAAATGATGGCACGAGCTGCAAACTGTGCTAAATATGATTTCACCAAGGGGATGTCAACCTCCAGTTTGGGGCACTGGTCCAATACGTTCAGGAAAGCCTTAAAAAGAGTATGTAGCAATCAGTTTATCCGTTCTTAAATTTGAATGGAAAGAGTTCTCACAGAAACAGGAAAGTGTTCTACCTGCATGAAGTTGTCACTTGTGGCTATGCCTTCCTGTTTGAGTAAACTGATCAAAGAACTTGCTTTTTCTTTATCTTCATCACTTCTGTCCAGTGACAGGATGATTACTTTGCTTAACATCTCAGGAAGAAAGTGTTTAGGAGCCCTCATTTCTCTTACACCATTGACAGCTTCATTTGAATTTCCACTATTCAGATATTCAGTCACAACAGTTTCCTGAAAAGAATACAATCCAAATGTCTTCAGTGCTTTTTCTGAAAAACTCAAATATACTTCATGACCAAGACTATGAGAATATTTGAAACTTACAGTTAGTTTAAGTAGTTCTTCCTTTGAGGGTGGAGGCTTTTTACTGGTCTTGGCAGGCTTTTCCTGAATAAGTGGTGGATTAGTTTTGAGACCAAGCTGAGGTGTCTGAAAAACATAATAGGTATGACTGCTTAATAAAAATTTTAAAATAAACGTGAATTTAGAGGGTGTATACACTAAGATCTTTAGACATTTTCAGTATCAAGTAGAAATTGCTATACCTGTCCCAGAGGTGGTGTCTGAGTGCGTGGTGGTTGTGCACTAGGAGGGATCATAGTTATTTGGGGCTGAAGCTTTGGCACTTGATTTTTATTCATTAGGAACGACTGAGCAGGCCTCAGGCTAATCTAGAATGGAAAACAAATCAAAACAGATATCCAAGTTAACAACATGCAGTTGGTAAGATACCAAATGCAACATTCCAAAAATCCTAGGGCAGGAATTTAAGTTTCAACAATAACTAAAAATGTACTCTTCCTTTATAGGTTCAATTTCTGTCAAGAACACTGAAGATCTTATCAATAGGAGAATCAGATACTGTTAATTCTTACACATATCAGAATTCTCCTAGGACTAGCATCACTAAAATAAATTTAATTAGGGTTTAGAAAATATCTTGCTTTATGTTTAGTTAAGCCATTCTAGTTAGAGTAAACTAATCAAAGAACTTGTTTTGATTGAAATCACAATCAAAATCTTGACAACCATTTTCCTTGTTCTCACTAAACACTTTAAGAAGCTTGCCCTCATATCTCATAATCTTCGCTCACAGGACGCTGGACAAAGAAAGAAAAAGTAGTACAGAAAAAGGAAGAAAGAAGATGAAGAAGTCCAGCATTTAAGTCCTCAACGCGTCTTTTTATAATCATTGGGCAATTTCTGAATTGACAAACTGTGGTATATCAAGTAACATAGGCAAATGTACCTCATCTGCATTAAGCTGTCCTTTCTTAGAAAACCGAGGTGGCATATCCTTCGACTGTCCTTGCAGCTGGGATAAGAGTCCCTGACTCTGGTTATGGTAGAGCTGGCTTAGCCCCTATTTCAGAAAGGGAGAAAGAAAGTCTAGATAAAAAGGGGTCCACAAATTATGGTAATAAAGTACCAAAGGGATGAGCCAAGCCATAAGGAAAGCTTAACTGAATTTGCCCAGAGAAAGTAAAAGATGAAACAGGGAAGAATAAAAATCTAACCCTAACAAGAAATAAAGAGATGTGATTTTACTAATACTTTACTAATCTTAAGGGTAAGTACTTCACCCAGTTTAAAACAACTGCCACAGATGTAGATTTGGTTTAGAAAAAACACATATGACCCTAAAGCATTTGCATTTGTTTTAAAAAGCAAAAAATCACGTTACAGGGTTTAATACTTGTTGCTTAAACATTCTTAAGTTTTTCTTACCTGGCTTTTCATAAACTTGCCTCCCATCTCTCCAAACTGCGATTGTGTGGGAGGCATGATGTGTCCCCCATGGCCATTGAAGAGCTGATTTGGGCGATGGCGCCCCATGGTGGGTGAAAATCTATCCTGGATAACTCCTGGACCAGTACCAATTCCACTACCTTGAAATACATACAGGGGACAACGTTTTACAATTCTACTACTATGTTATACTGATTTTTAAATTTAACCAAACCACCATTTTGTTCAAAATCACCTGGCATTTGTCCAAACATATCAGCAAGTCCTCCAAGTGGGTCCCTATCCATTTTCATCCTGGGTGGCATGAACGGTCCCTCCAGAAAGAAGTCACTTCTCATCCCTTGAGCCATAGGAGCTGGAATAAACACTCCTAGATCCTTTAGAAATAAAGTGAACAAAATACTTGTTTTGGACACTTAAAATTCTTATTTTTGTGAAAAACAGAAAAATTACGGACTATCAGGGTGCTATTTATAATTCTGAGCTCCATTAGTAAGATGAGATAGTCTCAAACAGTCTTAAAGTTTTAAGAAGGTCCTTTGGTTATATTCTTAAAGCTCTGATAACAGAAAAATCTTACCTTTACTGCATCTTGACGGATTTGATTGATCGTCTTTGGTCCATTGTCAAGAAAAGCCTTGCGAGGAACCCAACGGTGTTCTCGCAACTCTACAGTATCCTTTAATTTAGAAAATTTAAATAAATTTCATTTTAATATTCTAAGCAGAAAAAGTGAGCTCATTGACATAATTAAAGGAACCAGTTTTACCTGCAGCAGGAAACGAATCCTCGCTGGCAATTCCTTACTTAACATCAAGGAGCACATTCGGGCAAAGTACTGATCCATTAAGGACTAATAAAATAAAAAAATTGTTAAAAGTGTTATGGCAAATGTATATTATTTAAGGCTTTTAAAGACTTCTAGATTTTAATCAAGGTTAATGATTAAACATGGCAACCCCCCTATATCCGTGGTCGGCAAAATGCAGCTCTCGAGCTATATGTGGCTCTTCCACAAAATACCACGGCCTGGTTGAGTTTACTTTGAAGAAGTAGTGGTTAGAAGAAGTTTAAGAAATTTGGCCCTCAAAAGACATTTCAATCATATTGTTATTTGGTTCTGTTGACTAATGAGTTTGCCGACCACTACCCCATATCATAAAGACATCGGATTTTAATAAAATTAAGACAAACTACCCATATTATTTGTTAGTGACACACATACCTTGGCTCGTTCATGGTCTAATCTAGGTCCCACTGTCCTCATTATCTGACAGAGGCACTCCAAATCCTCTCCCATATCTTTGAGTTGGACTCTCTTCTTCTTTTCCAAAAGCTATGAAAAGAAATGACCCAGTTTGACAAAAATCTTGTTTATATAGTATTTCCCCTTATGTTTGCATTGACTCAGAGTTCCTAATGTATTTAACAGTACTTCCTATTTGAACTGTGAAGGAATCCCCCAAATTAAGCAATTTAACATAGGTAACCAGTTTTACCCCTACCCTACTGGACACTTCCATATTCAGAATATGCAAGTTTTGCTGTTCATCAAAATAGTCTAAAATTCTCAGATGGCAGAAACAATTATAATTGCCTCATTTCACCCAAATAACTTTATTTAAACCCAATTCTTAATCATACTTACTGTTTTGATGCACTTATGAAGGATAGATTCATGAATAAGATCAAGCTTTCCAAGTTCTCCAATGAATTTGATGTTCCCCAACATCTTGATCTTAGCAATGGCTCTCTGTTCCTCCTCCTCGGGGAGGAGGGGATTTTCACGCTTATCGTAGACTGAAAAATGAAAAAGTCAACGTTCAGAATCAAGTTGAAAATGTACAGTACACTAAATATCAACAATAAATCCTCACCATCAACATTTCTGGTTCGATTTTCAAATTCATCTTGTAATTTGGAAATTAGGAGGCGTCTGAATGTCTATTAAAAACAAGACATTTGGAAAGTTTTATTAATGAGATCTTTCAAATCAACTTTAAAATAGGCAAAGTAAGCACTACCACTTACTGTGCTTTGCTTCTGTCCTGGTTGACCCTCTGCTGCTGGGCCATCAAAGTTTGGTGCATCCTCTGCCAATCGCAGACATAGCTGAGCATACAGTGAGCTATACTTTGGCTCTTCTAAGGCTTTGTCCACAATCTACAGGAAATGTCATTTAAAAAATACTAAATATAACATCGTAACCCCCCTTCCTTTATAACCTAATTCTTTGCATGCACTCAATCTTTTCAAATTTCTTACAGACAAATCCTCCATACCCCATTTGTAATTTTAGAACCCCCCCCATTTTTGTAAGGTTTACAGAATAAAAACTAAATTAAACTGCAAGTAAAGTGCTTAGCATAGTTAACATTTGTTAACTGTTATAGTATATTAAAGCCCAGTTAACAGATCTCATTCTAGTCTCTACCCCCCTCCCCCAGGTGTTGAAAATATGCTGAACACCAAAACTGTAAACAGACACTGGAATGTCTATCACTATTATGCAATTCACCCAAGATCAAAATTGTTATTTTCCACAGAATGAAAAACAAACAAACCCAAATAGTCTGTTTACGATAAGCCCATTTACTTTCCAAGCAACAATAGTATGAAAAACTACAAAACCTGATGCCATTAAGTTAGTGGGTTTAAAAAAAAAAAAACATCATTATTCAAAAACACATTTATCTAGCTCATACCTCAGAGTTTTAAGAAATAATACAGTATGAAAACACCAATGCTGGTTTAAGTATTTTTCTTTCCCTTTCAGTAACTTACCAGCAGTATGACCCCTTTTAGGATGAGTTTAGACTCTACACCCACATTGAGGAGCTCAAGGCATAGCTTGTCAAACTTCTCAGGAGTAAGCTTATTGAGTATGCTGGAAGGAAAAGGAATCACACGTTAAGTGTCAGCTAACACACAAAGAATTATTAACTCGAAAAACAGTTTTTAAATTATGTTCACTTTTTCTTCATCATTTCCCTTTAATATCAAGACCTTTTTTTGTACCCATCTAACCAAAGAGACATTTAATAAACCTGTCACTGTAATTTAGATGATAATATCTGTACCTGATGAGGGTCCCCAGCTGTCTGACAAATCTCACTCATCCTCAAAAACCAGAAGAGCCTCCCTATTATCAAGGCCAGCGCAGGAGCTAACGCTCACCTGTTCTGTGCACTTCACTGGGTTGTACACCAGAAATGGGCAATATCAGCACAACAGGCTGAAAGCAACTCTAAGCCCCCGAATACTGATCTTTAAGATAAACCATCCAACCGGCATTTGTTAAAACAGACCAAGTGGACCTATAAACTCACCCTCTTACTTTCCTGAAGATTGCATCATGTCGTTCTTTTTCATTTGCGGAGTTGTTTGCTGCGGAGTTGTCATCTCGTCTAGTGCTTCGTGCAGGAATCCATTTCTGAGCGTTTTGCCCTGGGGTTTTCCCCAGGAACTCGCTAGTAAAAAATATTTATAATTAAAATTAAGACAATTTAAAATGTAGCACCAGTCACATTTATTGACTGTCATACCGATCAGAAATCCTAAATAAAACAAATTTAAATTTCAGTTCAGGGTTTCTCAACTTCTCTTACAAGTAAAAATCTCAATCAATGGTTGTCTAACAAGTATGCATAGGAATCACCTTTCGGGTTTTGGTTAGAACAAAAACAAGGCCCACTGTTCCTGCAGTGGTGGGCCCAGGCAGTGCCCATGATTTACATTTCTAATAGACTCCCTGGTGCTGCCCCACATTGGGAACCAACATTTTCTAAGTCTCGTGAGCATGTGGCTTGTATAACCTAAATTTAGGTTATTTTGCAGAAATCATGTCCAATCAGGTTGGTATTCCCAATGTCTAGTGCCCTAATTATTTTGTTATGCGTGACAAAAGTTACTAATACAATGTTATTTGTAAAACTCGTTGTTTTTGCATGTTTACCTGTTGCCAGCAGTCTTGGGATAGTGCTGAGGTGCACCCCTACTTCCTCCTCCGCCCGAAGAAGCACTAATTAAAAGAAAAACATTAAAAAAAAAAATCTAGACCCCAATTATGTTTCATATAGAGGGTAAAGATCTCTTTTAATTATTCCGTATTTTAGAAATTACACCACAGATGAAGACCGAACTTGGGCCAAATGGAAAGCCAAACAATAGATTACGTTTATTTTCACATGGCAGTTAATAAAAGATAATGAACATTTAAGGACTTCAAAGAAAAATGAACGAGACACATTATAAACTAAATGTACAGCACATTTATTCAGAATTACTTAGTGTGGTGATTCTTTTGGTTTTGGATTGGTCTTTAACAACTGCCCAAAACAAATCCGCACATACATACCTGAAACGAGAAGCACCCCCTTCTGCAATCGCACTCTCCACTTTGGCGGCTTGACAATGAAGAATCTTCAAAAGAATAATATTAATGGATGGGG